CAAATAAATAAAATCTTTAATAAATAAATAAAAGGGGACATTCGGATTCAAAAGTTTATAAAAAATTTATATAACATAGAAAGAAAAGTAGCAAGATTTTAAAGATGAATAGCTAAACAGCTAAAGGACATGAACAGACAAGATGACAAATGATACATCAAGAAATGCAAATACATGGGAAAATACTCAAAACAATGAGTTACAGTATCTCTATGTGATCATTTTAAGGCAATACATACCAGGAAAAATGACTGAAAGAAGAAAATGTCAACAATGGCTATAATTATGGAAGGTTATATATCATTTTCCCTTCTATTTTTTAAATTTTCTTTGATAATATTATTTTCACAACTTAAAAATATTATGAAAGCTACAAAAACAAAATATCTGATAATCTATAAAAATAAAAATATTAAAACAGGCTACAATTACATGAAGATATGTATTTAAGTGCAGGACTAAAGGTTCTGCATAATACATAAAATTTTAAGTTCAGTGTTAGCCTGAGGGGTGATTTCTTTCCCCTTAAATTTTGTATTAGTGGCTCTATACTGCTGTTTTTTGATTAAATATACTAGAACCAATAACATTTTAAAATGTCAAATTTGACTTTTGAAAAATATCCAACCTTCTAGACACAGTAATTTCTATACTGAGATTTTATACTAAAAATTTTCAAAAGAAAAATAATAATACTCCCAAAGATATTCAATGAAAATATTCACTCACAAAGATATCAAAAAATTAGAAGCTACTGTAGCCAAAAGAAACAGTTCCTACAATGGCAAAAGTTAAGTAGATTTTGTATATCAACTAAAGAAAACTTTATACTTATGCAAACATGAAAAGATGGAGATCATAAAAATTGTAGCAACTACTACATGGGAAAATGTCCATAGCATAATGTTAAAGTATAAAGCAGGACACAAAACTTTATTTATATCTCAATTATAATTATGGAAAAATAATATATACACAGAGAAACACGAAAAGATAAAAAAAGAGATGAAAAACTGGCAAAAGAATCATGGGAGAAATTGCACCCGTAATGCTGCTGTAATGCTCTTGTTCGTGCAAGAATAACTTTTTCAATAATTGCAAGCTTCTGGGGCGCCTGGGTGGCTCAGTTTAAGTGGCTGCCTTCTGCTCAGGTCATGATCCCAGTAATCAAGCCCTGTGTTGGGCTCCCTGCTCAGGGGGGAGTATGCCTCTCCCTCTCCCGCTGACTCTCCCCGCTACTTGTACTCTCGCTCGCTCTCTTTCTCTCTGAATAAATTTTTTTAAAAATTTTTTTAAATTAATAATTTCAAGATTCTAATTTAAGATGTGCTTTCTCTTTAAACAAACTCAGGTAAACAAAATAATGAATCAAAGGGGTGATTATTTGCTTTAGGAAAGAATGATTTACATAATGACTTTAAATATGTACCATTCCTGCTATATTTGAAATAAAAAAGCTTAAATCCAAACACACAACTTTTGGGAACCACAACTTGAGAATAAATCAAAGTAATTTATTGATAATGTTTAACTGTTTTCTTTTTTTTTTAAGAAAGAAATAGTGTGGGGGCGCCTGGGTGGCTCAGTCGTTAAGCGTCTGCCTTTGGCTCAGGTCACGATCCCAGGATCCTGGGATTGAGCCCCGCATGGGGCTCCCTGCTCTGTGGGAAGCCTGTTTCTCCCTCTCCTACTCCCCCTGCTTGTGTTCCCTCTCTCGCTGTGTCTCTCTCTGCCAAATAAATAAAATCTTAAAAAATGAAAAAAGAAAGAGAGAGTGCGGGAGGTGGGGAGAAGCAGAATGGAAGGAAGAGAGAAGAGAATCTTAAGTAAACTCCATGCTGAGCACAGAGCCTGACTTGGGGCTCAACTCCACTATCCTGAGATCATGACCTGGCCAAAATCAAGAGTAAGATGTGTAACTGACTGAGCCACCCAGGAGCCCCTTCAATTGCTTTTTGTTTTTTTTTTTAAGATTATTTATTTATTTGAGAGAGAGAGAGAGAGCATGCAAGAGAGAGAAAGCATGAGCAGGGTGAGGGGCAGAGGGAGAAATAGACTCCCCGCTGAGCAGGGAGCCCAGCGCAGGGCTCAATCCCAGGACCCCAGGATCATGACCTGAGCCCAAGGCAGACACTTAACTGACTGAGCCACCCAGGCGCCCCCCACCAATTGTTTTTAAGATAAAATCTTCCTAACAAATCAATCTCTAAGTTAAATAGGCTCTTCTGTATAAGCTTTGCCTTGTGAATGAACTCATACTACTTATAAAACCTCAGACAAAAATTATTGCAAAACAAATAATAAAAAAATTAATTTTTTTCTATTTCAGAACTGAAATGCTAAAGATAGTCTTGTTTTCATATTATCAACATTTTTAGAACACAGATTAAAAATATCACATAATCTATAAAATTCATTTATTGAAATCAGTTAATATCAAAAATGTACAAATTCTTAAATACATACTTACACCTGAAACTAAACAAAATATCATGCAATCCAAGATTTTCTTCCATATTCATCTTGTACTGCCATTTTCTCTTTTAAAAAAAATGTATCATCTAAATAGATTTTAAAACATGAATATAATAGAAAGACCATGATTCTGGTCCCAGCACCGTCTCTAATTCACTGTTTAATTTACCTCTATATCTTGATTTCTGACACGATAGTACTTGTCTCCACCTCACAAAAATCATATTATGCTAATAAGAAACTACACAAGAAAATAAAGATGCTAAGTTTTTTATGTATTAAAAACAAAAGATTGTGACTAGTTCAAATTGATAATTCACTGACTTTTCTGTTTTCAAATGCAATCAATTCACAATAACTATGATGTACTGCTTTTTAATTCTATTACATGTGTAGAATACCTTGTTTCTACAGAGAAAGGCCAGCAGAGTGCACCACTGTTCCTGTTTACCTCCTCCTCCAATAACAGGGGCTCTTTCATAACCAAGGACATTAACAAATCTTGCTGCCTGCCTTGGAGTATCCAGAAGCCTCCCAGCTCGAAGTGGTTTAATATAGGAACACACTGGTCTATTTATCCCATTTTCATCCTGGGGGAAGAGGGAAAAAACATCAACTGTCAGGATAGATTAATCATTCCCAATTTTACAACTTTTTCTTAGAATATATTAATGTGGGACAAGATAATTCTGGATAACACTTACTGAGTGCTTACCCTGCATCCAGCACTGGGTAGCTAAGTGCTACGCATACAATTTATCTTTTAATCTTAACATCTCTTACTGTTTTCATTCCATAAATGAAGAAACTGAAGCTACAGGTATTATGCAACAGAGCTAGGATTCAAACCCTCAGCTGTCTCCAAAACTTGTGACAATAAGAACTTGAACTACCATGATTCAGCAATCTCACTCCTGGATATGTATCTGAAGCAACTGAAATCAGTATCTCAAAGAGGTATCTGTGCATCCATGCTCACTGCAGCATTACTCACAATAGCCAAGATGTGGAAATAAGTAAAATGTCCTTTAATGGATGAATGAGTAAGAAAATGTGGTATTACATATACAATAGAATATTAATCAGCTATAAAACAGGAGATCCTGCCATTCATCACAACACGGATGAATCTGAAGAGTATTATGCCAAGTGAAATAAGCCAGACAGAGAAAAACAAATCCTGTATGGTGTCACTACATGTGAAATCTTTTTTTTAAAAAAAAAAAGGCTGATTTCAGAGAAATAGGAAATAGAATGGCAGCTGCCAGGGGTTGGGGAGAAGGAGGAATAGGGAAGATGTACGTCAAAGGGTACAAATTTTCAGTTATAAGAAGAGTAAGTTCTGAGGATCTAATATACAGCATGGTGACTAGTTAGTACAGTAAACTTGAAAGTTGCTGAGAGTAGACCTTAAGCATCCTCACCACATGAGAAAGAGGTAACTATGTGGGGTGATGGATGTGTTCATCATCTTAATCTTGGTAGTCATCCCACAAAGTATATGTATATCAAATTATGTTGTACACTTTAAATATATACAATTATATTTGTTAATTACTCCTCAATAAAATTAGGGAAAAAAAAGAACTCTTCTGAAAACAGAATAGGCAGGTATTTGGGGGATGGAGAGGGGATCTAAGCCAAAGTATTCTTTAATATTATCGTACAGAACTTAATACTGTATATCCAAACAGAATAACTTTTCTGATTTACTGATCCAACAAGTTATCAGAGCTCATTTTTAGTTTGTCTCCATTACACTTGGAAGGTTAACAAGGATTTGTTAATTAAGTGAACTGAAAGCAGACTTTTAAAAATCATTTAAGGAAAACATCTTACATTTTCAAAATAGGATATATCCTAGCATTTGAGCTAAATAACTACAGGGCATACAAAAGTCTCTGATGACTGTCCACCGCTGGGCTTTTTGAGTTAATATTACCAAAGCCCACATTTCCCTTACATTCATGGTTACTGAGATGACAAAGTCAAAGGATTACTTTCTATTCAAAATTCAAAGACAATTTAACACTCTCTATCATGGCAAGGTTCCTGAGAAACAAGGCCTAACTCAGCCAACAGAAAAATAACGGTTTCAATTATCAGAACCACTGATGTCTTTCTATACCACAAAACATCACCTCTCCACTATAATCCCATACCTTAGCAAGAAAAAAAAAAACAAACCTGTTATTTACATTTAATTATAGTGAGAAAGATCATGAATTTTTTTATATAGAGCAAAGTATTATTATGATTTGACTCATAACTATGGTTCTCAACTCTAAAAGGCACTGATTTTTTTCCGTCCTCTCCCACCCCACTGTTACCTCCCTGGCTCAAACACATCCATGGTGGCCTCTTACTTTCCATCTCCCCCATGCTATCTTGGGAATCAGAAATAGAGATAGAACAAAGGGATCAGCTAGGAAAAAGCTCAAATAGAATGAAGAACCAAAGACAATTAAGGAAACTAAGGAACAGAGACAGAGAGGAAATTTAAGTGAAGGGTGTTTCAAGGCACTCATAAAAACAGAAAACCATGATTCTAATTCTGGAGGGCAGTAGAAAACTATTATTTCGATTTCTTTTACATTAACTCTGTTATTTATTTATTTACTTATTTATTTATTTATTTATTTATTTATTTATTTGAGACAGAGACACAGCGAGAGATGGAACACAAGCAGGGGGAGTGGGAAAGCGCTTCTTATTTATTTGACAGAGACACAGCGAGAGATGGAACACAAGCAGGGGGAGTGGGAAAGGGAGTGGGAAAGGGCTTCCCGTGGAGCAGGGAGCACAATGCGGGGGCTTGATCCCAGGACCCTGGGATTATGACCTGAGTCGAGAGTAGACGCTTAAAGACTGAGCCACCCAGGCACCCCTACATTAGCTCAGTATTAATTATTAATCTAGTATAGTGTGAGAATATTGTCTTGAAATCAAAATCTGAACATTAAAAGGATGGCCTCAATCCTCAAGTGATTTGTAACATTTTCTTAAAACTTAATGGTGTTGGGGCGCCTGGGTGGCTCAGATGGTTAAGCGTCTGCCTTCCGCTCAGGTCATGATCCCAGGGTCCTGGGATTGAGCCCCACATTGGGCTCCTGGCTCAGCGAGGAGCCTGCTTCTCCCTCTCCCTCTGCCTCTCTCCCTGCTCATGCTCTCTCTCTCTCTCTATCTCTGTGTCTCAAATGAATAAATAAAATCTTAAAAAAAAAAAAAAAAAAACTTAATGGCCTTAAAGATCAATTTCTATAACTTACTTTAAAATTTCTTACACTAGAAAATTTAAAGGCTATCATTAAGTGAATTACTATTGTACTATAGCAAAACAAGCAAGTGAGGAAGAAAAAGTACAATAGATTATTAAGTATAACAACTCCGATGATTCTACAGATGTTTGGTTAGGATAAAGGTAATTAACTGAGTTCCTGAATGGGCCATTTAGTCCTATTCTTACAACTCCACCAACAGAGAGGAAAGGAATGAGTACCTAAAAAGTGGATGCATGTGCCCTAAATCAATCATCAATAGTAGCATCTGAGAATACAAGATATATCATTATATGTTTCATTACAGCAATATTTCTCATATTATCTATAATATATCCCCATAAACGAAATGTCTTGAAAATTTCGGTACTTTAGCTTCTAAACCTGCACTGTCCATTAAGAATGCCACTAATCCTATGTGGCTTTTTAAATAAAATTAAATAAAATTCAAAATTCAGTTCTTTATTGCCACATTCTGCATGCTTAATAGTTCAATGGCTATCATACTGGACAGCACAGAGAACATTTCCATCACTGCAGGAAGATAGTGCTGCTGTAAACTATTTTCTCTTGTGCCTAGAAGCACTGGAAATTCATTTCAGACCATGTATAATAACTTTTTGGTTTAAAATTAGTTTTGATTAGACTGCCTTAAATAAATGTTATTGTTCCTTAACTTCATCTAGTCAAATATAGAACGCAGCAGCAAAAGACACTTTTGGGGAACTGAAGTAAGATAAACATTTTTACTCTCTCTCTTTATCCAAAGGTGGTCCAGTCAAACCAAAAAAGCACTAGTTGAAACTGTAACTTAACGGAGTCTCCATGACTAAGTTGCTGTTTGATATCAGGAAAAATTCTTTACTCTTCTCTTTTATACTGTTTTTTATAAAAAGTGGTAAGGCCTGGCCAATTGACAATTTCATATGGTTACCATGAGACTAAGTGACCTTATGTGGTTCAAATCTTCTTACAATGAATTCTAAGAGATGGGAACTTGTTCAAGTAGTATTTCCTAAAAATGATCCCCGTTCCGATTTGCGTAACTGCATCATCCTCTTTCTCCTCCTCTTTCATTTGCCATTTCTCTGATTCACTTCCTCACCCACCCATTCTTCTCTGGTCCCAGATTCCACATGGCAATGCATAACCTCACCTCAGACTAAATAGACAGCAGGGAGCCAGTTATATTTTGACTGGTTTCTCTTTGCCCCATCCTGACATCAATGCTACCTGTCTGCCCAAACAATGCATAGACAATGCTCCTGGAAAGTGAGAAGCTGTTTCCCTCATTTCCACCACTAGTCAACAAGGCTCTCCCACTTTTAAGCTCCTCATCTAGAAACTGAACTACTCTTAGCCCATCCTACTACGTAGGGTAAAACTAGACAAATGCACAGGATCTGAGACATATTAGTCAAAATAATACCACACTATAACTCTTATAAAAGCATCTACATAAGGTTGAATGAATATAAAATATGTGCATTGTTCCTCAGAAGTTACAAAATATATGATCTAATCATATATTTTATTATATGATTATATGTTGAGAAAAAATAGGCTTAGGATACAGGAAAATAGAAGCAGAGATACAGAACTGAAATGCTGCAGTTAAATATTACTGGTCACTGGTTCAGAGATTTTGGCTATATGGAATTATTACATAGCTATATGGATTATTTACATTATCAACTGCAAAGTATCTTAGTATTTAATCATTTAGTACTAAGTATCACTCTCCAAATTAAACAAAGTGGGTCTTCATCTATTTTAAACCAAATATATTCAAAAAGGGTTTAAAAAGAGTAACTGAAAATGAAAAGCAAAATAAAACAAAGACTGTGTTATGTCACCTACTCAGTGAAAGAGTATTGTAAAATCATATTCGATTTTTACAAATAAAGTTTCATTTGTCTGGAATAAATACATTTTACAAATTCATCTTAATTGAAATTTACATATACAACAGTAAATCTCAAATATAGGTGTGAACGTTTTCTAATGCAATTTACAAACCTGTGCAAAAATCTTAACCAGCCGTGAGTTGTGTGAAGGTCGAATTTGCAAATATTCTCTCCACCACTGCTTTGCATATACAAGAAATAATCGCTCTTTCTCTGCAGTTTTCTGACGTTCCAAAGCAAGCTAGAAATTTAAAAAAATACTTCCTTCAATTTCTGTTTTTTCTCCTTACATACTCTAAAATATGTAACAATTCAGCACTCTTCTCTCCATCTCTACCACCATCCTAACATAAGATATCATCTCTACCATCTATCTCTAAGAGCCTCCTGACTGACTTCCCTATATCTACACCCCACCCCATAATCTCGTCTCCATATAATGGTTAGTGATCTTTTCTCACAAGACAAACATTTTTAAATAAATCATATTGTCATTCTTTTGCTTAAAACTAGGAAGTGATAATTTTCTAAAAAGAAAGTACTTTCTAGGATCAACAGGTAAATACACCATTATGAAAACAAATACACAAAGAAGAGAAATTCAGAATTATTTACCTGTGTGTTCACTACTTCTTGAGATAATGTTTGATTGAGTGGTGGGTACATCTCAAGTTTTATATTTAAAATTCCGACAGAAACTTTTGATTCTGTGCCTATAAATTTAAATAAATATTTAGAACTTCAGAGGTTTCCATACTATGTATATTTAGTCAACCAAAGTCTAACCAAAATAATTAAAGAATTTTGTGCTTTACCTCTTACATGAAATACAGATAATATTCAACATCATCTTTAATATTCATATTAAAAACGAACCAAATCAAATTAGTTTTTAATGAAGACCTTTATCTAATTATAAAGAGATTACCTATTTTCTGAGTTTGCTTATCACGTTTTAAGGGGCTGTTTGGATATACAGGATTTGGTATTCTTAATTTTTATCTTCATTAGATGTATGCCAACCAGATTTACATCAAAAACAAAGTAAAGCAACAGTTAACATCTCATTCTCAGAAAATATTTATACTTTATCATATATAGTAATTCCTATGTATCCTTTCCTATATATATTTTTTTAATCCCTTCCCATTTTTCACATCACATGTGAGTACAAATTTTCAATCCATTCCTGGCTTTAAAGAATCAGAAAACAAATATACTTTTTTTGTTGTTGTTACCAGAACTATTTACTATTTCTCTGGTGAATCAGAATATACTTGTTTCTTGGTCACTACTATGATAACCATGTTGACTGTATCTGAAGAAAAAAAATGGGTATCTTTTGAAAATAAATATCCCACATAAAACTTTTTCCCCCTACTTTCTATTTAAGGAAAAACACATTCCAGGTCTGACTTATCAGAATCTAAAGTCCTAAAGCTATACTGTCCACTGGCCAGGTTAGACTATGCAACTTAGTTTCAATACCAAAGTAATTCCTCTACATGTTATGCATAAAATATTGGTAGGTCTTATTTTATTAGCAAATATGTATTACACATCAGATAGTATGCAAGAGTCCAAGGAGACAATGGTGAATAAGATAGGCACCATCTCTGTCCTCAAAGAGTACTATTCACAGATATTTGAGCAAGTTAGTCAATGAGCAAGTTAGTACCTCTTTGAGTCCCACGTTCACACAAGTAAAAGGATGGAAGAATATCAACACCATAACCTGTAAGAACCCTTGCTGCAGGAAGACACTGGTACTAATGGGGATGCACTGTACACTGGAGTGTGCTGGAATAGAGGGTTTTTACATATGCATGTGTGTGAAGAATCTTAATTTTCTTTACAGTCTTATATACAATCAAATAAATTTGAAAAAAGAAAGAAAGCAAGGGACGCCTAGGTGGCTCAGTCGGTTAAGCATCTGGAATCGAGCCCCGCATCAGCCTCCCTGCTCAGTGGAGAGCCTGCTTCTCCCTTGCCCTCTGCTGCTCCCCCTGCTTGGGCACGCTCTCTCTCTCTCTCTGTCAAATAAATAAAATGTTAAAAAAAGAAAGAAAGAAAGAGCAAGCAAGCCCCATAAAAAATTTTTTCCTTAAGACAAGGTCAGATTGACTGTGAAGTTCTATACTTATAACATGCTTCATGACATTTCCCAAGACTACAATACTACAGTCCAACTATAATTCTAATGAAATCCTTTTTTTAAGTATTTTTTTAAAAGATTTTATTTTAGAGAGAGGGGGGCGGAAAACACACACAAGTGCAGGCGAGAAGGGCAGAGGGAAAGGGAGAAGGAGTCTTAAGCAGACTCCATGCTGAGTGCAGAGCCTGATGTGGGACTTGGATCTCACAACCCTGAGATCAATACCTGGGCGGAAACCAAGAGTCGGGCGCCCCCTAACAAAATTCTTTTCACATGTTTCCTTCTTGGTTTACAAAGGTATTCAGAAAACATAAAATGTATTTACAAACAAGCTGTGGCTATAAAAAGGTAACAGTGATTAATCATCATACCTACACCCATAAGTTCCACAGTAAGACTGGTCATTCCATTTTCTGAGCCCAAAACTGATCGCCATTCAAGAAAATAGGATGCTACCAAAGTAGTCTCACCAAATATGTCTGTTTTGATTAGCACCATATGAACTGGATCACTTATTGATAACATTGTTGTTGAATCAGCCATTCGAGTTCCATCACCTGGCAACATAAACCAAATGTACCACATTACATATTCTGTTAGTCCAACATAAAAATACTTTTATTACAAAGGATACTAATAATAAACTTACATAAAACCAAATAAAATAATCTGGTAATGCCTCAAAAAGCATGTAACAGATTACATTATAAAAAAAAGTACAATCCTGGGGCACCCTGGGTGGCTCTGTTGGTTAAGTGTCTGCCTTTGGCTCAGGTCATGATCTCAGGGGCCTGGGATCGAGCTCCACATCAGGCTCCCTGCTCAGCAGGGAGTCTCCTCCTCCCCCTCCCCGCCCCTTGGGCTCACTCACGCTCTCTCTCAAATTAATTAATTCTTTTTTTTTTTTTAAACAGCCCTATTAGGGCAACATTTTTTTTTTTTAAAGATTTTATTTACTTATTTGAGAGAGAGAATGAGATAGAGAGAGCATGAGAGGGGGGAGGGTCAGAGGGAGAAGCAGACTCCCTGCCAAGCAGGGAGCCCGATGCGGGACTCAATCCCGGGACTCCAGGATCATGACCTGAGCCGAAGGCAGTAGCCCAACCAACTGAGCCACCCAGGCGCCCAGGACAACATTTTTCACTGGGGGCAAAAAAAATTTTTCGTACTATATTAACCATCTTAGCAATCTAAAATTCTGAAGGTATAATTCTATAACTTTGTTAAGTTTACAAATGTAAAGATTTCTATATTGAAATAACATACAAAATACGTTAATAGAAATAATGCAAAACAATTATGGGAATCAAGTATATAATTTTAAAGTTATAAAAATGAGAGTTACAGATGTCCATCCTAATTTTTATTTTTGAAAGTTACATTAACATCATAAATCTAGCTATCTTTCATAAATGGGGATTATGTCTCATTCTCCACTATATCCGCAGCACTTGCCTACCATAGCATAATGCACCTAACAGGCATTTACTGTTTGACTGATTGATTTGAGAGAGAGTGCGCAAGCGCACGCACAAGTGGGAGGGGGAGAGGGAGAGAGAATCTCAAGCAGACTTTGTGCTGAACGCAGAGACTGATGCAGGGCTCAATCCCACAACCCTTAGATCATGACTTGAGCCAAAATCAAGAGTCAGATGCTTAATCAACTGTGCCACCCAGCCCCCCACCATATGCATTTAAATGTTTACTACTAACGAAGCAACCATTAAGACAATAAAAAATAATCTTCAGGGAAAATTAATAAGCAGAAAATAAAGCAAGAAGGTGGAAGTCATTTATATAAAAAAAAGCAGTGGAGAAAATAAAAGCAAAGTAGGAAGATTCATTCATTATAAATCTCTCCTTATAGCAAAAGTTGTTATGGTTGTTCTACAATAAAACCTAACAAAGATTTACTCAGTTAAGTGACAAATTATCATTGCTCCTTACCTAAGCTTTCTCTGTGTACTTCAAGTAAAAAGCCATCATGAAAATCTGGTTCACAGGCACATGGAACAGGTTTAGAACGAAAACGTTGGTTTCGAAAATGTAAACATAAAGTAAAGGTTGAACAAACTTGTCCTGGTAAAGGCTCAGGTTCTTGTAGATGTTCCAAGAAAGCTTTTCCACCCAAAACCTGAAGGTAAAGATACCTCCGTGTTGGATCAATATTAGCTGTAAAGTGTAGCAATATATATGAGGAAACTGCCAAATAACTTAAGGAATGTGATCAAGACAATAGAAAATAACAACAACAGAAATAAAACCAAAGACTAAATAAAGAAAAAGAGTAACAAATTTACTCTATACCAGGACCATTTACAACCAGGGAAGAAAACATACATAATAAGGTACCTTTATCTGAGTTTATATTCTGGCTACTTTTTCCCAGCTAGAAAGGAGTCAGAACCAAGGTTTAAGAAACCTTTACTTTTTGGTTGCTTATCCAACACTCCTTCACCTCCACAAACCAACTCAGACAAATATAAACACAGCAAGTGTACTTGTTAGGTAATTACCATTAAAAAAAGCAAGGCTGTATAAAGTTTGTAAAATATACTATTAAAACATGAGAAACAGGTGATCCTGTTTTTGCTTCCACTCTGTGATACATTAAATCGTCTGACATACATACTTCATGCAAAACAGAATCTAAGTTTTTTGGATGATTAATCACAAAAATGATAAGTACTTCACTCGAGAAAGGAAAAATGTTTTCTATCAAATACCAAACATTACAGCATATCAATATGTAATACTGTGCAAAACAAAATCAATGTTAAAAAGAAATACACATACTTTTTTTTAACAACGTTGAATGTCTATCAGTAAAACAAACAGGTTGTTTTGGAGAGGAAGGTAGCTCTTGATCAACACTATCCTAAAAAGGCAGGGAAAAAAAATGAAAACAAATTAGAAAACAAAAATTATAGTTAAGCAAGGAAATGTCAACAATGGGACTAAGAAGTAAATAAAAGTAGATAGGATAAAGCCCCCTCAAGGAAACTCTTATTTTCTCAGTACAATTAAAATAATGAAAAGCCTGCAAAAAAAGATGATGCAACTGGTCACGCCTAAAGTCTAATAAGGAATTTAACTGTCTTCAATGTCCACAGAATGCAAAAAAACAAATCCTTAATACCTTAAACAAGGTTAAACTTTTTCTAAACCTAATATGACATTTTACTTATGATTCTACCATGAACTGATTTTAATAAGGGAATGACATTCACACAGTAGAAGCTGTTATTGGGTCAATTTTTAAACAAATGGGTTTATAAACTTCAAAAACCAAAAAAGGAGGCTGTATTAAAATACTTATTCCCTGGTGTATTATGCAGTCCATCCAATTTTTACATTATATTACCCAGGTATTATTAGGTCACAGTTTCTCATTATTGCCTCATTTTCAAAAGAAGGCCTACTTACTAATTTGTGCACTGAGGCTCTCATCCCACTACTGACCTATTTGTATAAAGAGATTTGAAGGTTCTTACACAATTATTTTCTTAAAGAAATTGGTAATTTGTTAATCATAGAGAATGGATTTCCAAAAGAATGTGTTTATTTAAAAAATATGCCTAATCTAAAAAAATTATAGAATACTAGTGGAAAGAAACTAGGTTATGGTGAACTAATTTAACTGAAATAAGTACACTCACAGAACTAGAGAATGACAACAGAAAATTCTCATTTTAGAGAGAAAAATATAGTATGTAACTCCAATCTCTTTGATACATTATCCTACTTGCTACAATAAAGAGTAGAGTTAGCTTATACTTGAAGTAAGGATATTACTAGACAAAAATGGTCTTGTTTTAAAGTGATTTTACGAAAAAGAGGCCCCAAATATGGACCCTATAAGCAGCATTAAGCATAGGAACATACTCTCAAAATTTTTCCCCTAAAAGATTACTCACAGTAACAAAATTAAGTTCTTTCATCACATCATCAATGATTCCCCGACGCCTAAGGGCTTTGATCAAATCTTCTGTTGATAACTGTTGTTGATCCGGTGCCAATTCTTCCCGTATTGTCTCAGCAAGGATTTCTCTTATTCTGCCATGGACATCCATCTATGTAGAAAACTCGCATTACAATTTACATTTATGAAGCCATCAAACATTGCCAATTAACTAATTTCTTTCCAAAACACCCAAAGGAAAAAAATGGGAGAGTGGATAGACAAAATTCAGGAAGGCTTCTCAAGCTAATAGTAAACGTAAAATTGTTACTAGAATTCAATGAGAATAAAGATAAGATTTTTTAAAAGAAAAAAATTTTAGGATGAATTTCTTTTTTTAGTACAAACTCTAGAAATAATTTCTACTGGTTATCTACTACCTTTGTTACCATTTCCCCACAAATAACACTCAACAAAAACAGACCTTTTGAAAGAGAGTGTAGTATAATCAAGAGAACACAGACCTGGAGTAGGAGATCAGAGTACGAATTTCAGCGTTCAACTTATTAGATGTGACCCTGAGTCAACCTTTTTACCCTTTATGAATCTGGAAAAAATAGTGCCCTATCAAGATTACTGTGAGGCTTCGGTAAAAGGTGCTAAACACTTACCACAGAGCCTGGCATACAAGTGTACAATAAACGGTAGCTTTTATTACTTCAGCTTACTGCATTCAGCTTACTGCATTCAGCTGAGGACGTTAACAATGTTCTTGCGCTCCGAAGTATCACAAACACTTTCATTACAAGACCTTTAGTAACTTCCCTTTCATGACTTCTTTAAAAATTGCTGATTTGGTTCAACTTCAAAGATACAAGTTTCACCCCTAACATAATTCTAATTCCTGAACTCTGAATATACACCTGCTCCAAACACAACTTGTACCGGATCTGATACCCAGTAACCGCAGGATGAACGCTTTATCTTCACAGCCGTGCTATCACTCTGCCGCGTTCTGCCACCTCAAACTCTCACTAGTACTTGCCAGCATTGTTCTCTTTCACCGAGGCTAGAAAGCGGCCCCGGCTGTAGACCCGGAGCCCGCCCAGCCCGCTCTGCGCCCCAGAGCCTGTGCTCGCGTCCCGGCAAACAGACGCCGCCGTCGACTGGGCCTCGGGGCGCCAGGCTGGGCGCTCAGCACCGAAGGCGGCCGGAGGGGCTCGTGTTGCCCGGCGCCCGCGGCCCTCACCTTGCTCAGCTGCTGGTGGATGAGCTGCTTCAGCTCCGAGGCTTTCTCCGGAGGCAGCGACATGCTGGGGCCGGCGTCTCACCGCGCTTCTCCCCGCTTCGGGTGCGCCCCGGCCAGCCCCGGAAAGCCAGTAGCCGCTGAGCAGAGCCGGCGCGACCGACTGGCCTCACGCAGCTCCCGGGGGGCGCGACGCCGCGTCAGGGCCGGGGCTGGGCGGGAGCCGAGGCAGCCGCGGCGCTCAACTGTTGCTTTCAAACGGCGCGGACTACCAGGGCTCGGGCTGCCCCCCTCCCTGCCTGACCACCTCCGCCTGCCGCTCCCTTCCCTGGGGGTCCGCATCCCGCGAGCTCAGCGCTCCCCATCTGCCTGCCCTGCCAGGGTCTCCGCAGGCACTGCCCGCTCTCATCTTTCCCCGGTCGCGGGCCCTTTCCGCCCTGCGGACCGGCAGATAGCTGGACGGGCCCTTCAGGACCCCACGCCGAGCCGCACGACGGGCCCCGCCCCGCCCCGCCCCCGTCGCTAGCGGCTCTGGGGACACCGACGCGGCGCGGCGCTCGCGGTCTCGCCTTGGCGACGTCTTCGTTTCTCCCAGGCCCGCGCTCACCCCGTTCTCCCACTTCTGTGCGACCATGTTCGTTCCCTGTGGAGAGTCGGTCCCCGACCTCACGGGCTACACTTTCCTAATGGTGAGTCCCCGCTTTCGCGAGCTCCGCGTGCCCGGCTTGGGGTGCTTCCTCTCGGGAGGCTCCCCGGTGGCCGCTACCGCCAGTCGAGGTGTTTCAACGGGCCTGGGACAGAGGACGGTACTTGCTTCTGCTTCAGGTTTTCAGCCTGCGCCGAAGACAGGTTGTCGCTAGATGCGGCGCTTCAGATAGAATCTGTTGGCGCTCTCCCCGAACGTTTCTGAGACTAGAGTTTAGTCTGCGTTGAATGTACAACGTAATGTGTGTGGTAATTACAGGTAACGTTGTACATAGGTTGTAGGGGCCATTTTTTTTTTTAATTATTATATCCTAGAAAATTTTTCTTCAACTAGTAGCAGAGCCAGTCTTAAGCTGGCAAGACTCTCATTAACTAGAAAACTACAGGTAAGGTCATAAAAGTAATCTTAGCCAGTAGCTAACACACGGTTTTATTGCTCCTAAAATTGCCCATATTCAGTCACTGTTTCAATAAACATTCTGTACTGTAAAAATATTAAAATAAGACTAGGTCCTTGTCCTCAAGAAGTGTGCAGTCTAGTTGGAAACACACGTAAGCCAGTAAGGGCAATAAATGCTAGGATAGCACTTTGAAAAGGGTACTGAAGAATCCTAGGGCTTACTGGGAGAGGGAGGGACGTAAGGACCTGTTAAAGCTTTATGTGTGGAATCGGGGGGAAAAAAACCCCTCATAGATACAGAGAACAGATTGGTGGTTGCCAGAGGAGGGTGAGGATGAGGGCTGCTTGAAATGAAATAGATGAAGGCAGTTAAAAGGTACAAATCTCCAGTTATAAATAAGTCCTGGTGTATTGTACAGCATGGTGACTATAATAAACAATATTGTGTATTTGAAACTTGCTAAGAGAGTAGATCTTAAAAGTTCTCATTACAAGAGAAATTTGTAACTGTGGTTGACTGATGTTAAATAAACTTATTGTGATAATCTTTTCACAATATATACACATATCAAATTGTGTTATCTACCTAATACTAATACAATGTTATATGTCAGTTATCTCAGTTTTTTAAATGATGGTAATCACCTTGGGGCAATTCTCACCTTAACGATGCATGCAAGAAATATGAATGAATGTTAAAATTAGTGTGTGATAATGTACTGAAGGAAATTTTATATAATTTCAAAGTATCTCCCTGAAAAATATTTGTTAATCACAAAAGGGAAAGGTATCCTTGCAGGAATTGAAACATGTATGTACCATATATTCCCGTGTTTACTTTGCGGGGGAGACTTGACATCAGAATGAGGCAAAATTGAGTCCCTGATGTCAGGAGGTTATCTGAGGACAAGGAGAAGAGGCTGTGGGCATGCTCTGAGAGCTAGTACAACCTGGATGGGGTCGTAGGCTCGTTCTTGTTAAGGTAAGGAATTCAGGGCCTTGCTTGTTCATAGGCTGCAGCCATTATCAGTTGACCTTGAGTCCAGCCTTATGCAGAAACAGCTAGTAAGATACTTGGCAGAAGAAAAAAAAGAGAAAGATTCATAGGGAAAATAATGTCCAAAAGATTATTGGTGGTAACCTTGACAGTTACCAGTGAGTGGTGAAGGGAGGGAAGCCATATTGGAGTGGTTGAATAAATGGAAGAAGGGATGGAGACATGTATATGTATGTGTTTGTTTATCAATTCAGAGATAAAGTTCCTACTTATGTTTTAGTAGACAACTAGGGAATTTTGTCTATGGAGAGACACCAAGAAGTGAGGTGGTAGCTAGGGGAGTATGTGGGATCAGGGGAGGGTATTTTAGCAGAGTGCGGGACGGGGGTGGGGTGGGAGGGTGGGGGTATTTTAGAAGGAAAGATTACAGCATGTATATATGATGATGGGAAGAATCCAATGGTGAGGAAAAGGTGGATGATACAGGAGAGTGAGGGTCTAAAGTAGCAAAATCCTTGAGAAGAGGAAAGGGAATTACAGGAGATAACCAGAAGGTTAGTAGATGAGAGCAATGAGAAGTGGGGGACCACCCTAAGAGACCCAGAAAAATAAGATGGTGGGGGGATGCAGTTGCTAGAAGAATGCAAAGGAAGAGCTACATTACAGAGATACTTTGAAAGTAGAATCAATGAAAATTAGACATGTATTAGATGTGGTTTGTAAGAGAAAAGGAAGAAGTTTCTTGGGTGGGTTAGGTAATCAGATGAGCAAGTGTTGCTCTTTTCTAAAATGCAAAATGTGAGGACAAGTTTAGGCAGAAGTTTAGTTTTGTACATGTTGAATATGCATTGCCTATGAGATAACCATGTGGACATATCGATTAGGATCTGAAGTTCAGATAAATGTTTTGGGCTATAGATAGTGATTTGACAATGGGACTCTTTGAAGTCGTGGGGATAAATATGCGTGTGTGTTTAATGTGAAAAGAAGCTGACTCCAACCTTTAGGCACTAACAAAGCAAATGGAAGGATGACCCAAGAGGACTTTACACTTGCTTTCCCACTGCTTGAAGTGTTCTTTTCCCTGGTCTTTGTGTGACTGTCTTCCTTACGTCTTTCAGGTCTATGATTAACTGGTCAGTTATAGAGTCATTGTTTTCATGATCACCCTATTTAAAATTGCAACCAACCACATACGTATACACACTCTCACTTAACTTTTCTCCATAGCACTTAACACTGTATACAGGCATACCTCAAAGATATTGGGGGTTTGGTTCCAAACCACAGCAATAGAGTGAATATTGCAATAAAGCAAGTCAGATGAATTTTTTGGTTTCCCAGTGCATCTGAAAGTTATGTTTATACTGTAGTCTGTTAAGTTTGCAATAGTATTATGTTTAAAAAGACAGTGCGCATACCTTAATTTTAAGATTTTATTGCTGGAGAATGCTGACCATCATCTGAGCTTTTAGTGAGTCATAATCATTGATTGCAGATCAAATGATAACAAATATAATAATGAAAAAGTTTGAAATATTGAGAGATTTACCAAAATGCAACAGATGCAAAGTGAGCAAATGCTGTGGGAAAAATGGTGCTGATAGACTTCCTTGAGGCAGGGTTGCCACAAACCTTCAATTTGTAAAAAACACATTCTCTGTGAAGTTCAATAAAGTGAAGCATGCATGCATTTCACTATTTTATTACATTAAATTACTCCCTCACTAGAATGGAAGCTCCACAAGGGCAGGAACTTGCGTCGGTTTGTCTTGCTGCATTCCTAGTGCTAGAGCAATGATCGACATGTAGTAGGTGTTCCATCAGTGTTAAATCAGTCGTCTCAAAAGTAGAGGAAGCCCCTGCTGACACCTCAGTTGCAGCTAATGAGTCTCTATCCAGCTATGATGTACCTGAGCATAACCATCCAAAAGTAGTCCCGTGATTATTGTCTTCTGTCTAAACTTTTAAAAGTGCTGCTAATTTTGATGATTTAATGAACATATATTTTTTATTATTTCAGCCAGCAGTATCTGTTGGAAATGTTGGCCAGCTTGCAATGGATTTGATTATTTCTACACTAAATATGTGTAAGATTGGTTACTTCTATACCGATTGTCTTGTGCCGATGGTTGGAAACAATCCATATGCAACTGCAGAAGAAAATTCAGCAGAACTCAGTATAAATGCTGAAAGTATGTAAGACTTAAGCCTGTTTTATTCTGTTATAAGGAAGAGTTGTTTTAAATTAGAAGTAGATTCTACAGATACTGTTTTATAGCAAACATGTACTTAGTGCCAGCTTTGTGCAGAATTTATGACCTAGTCACGTCCTGTTCTCTTACATCTGGTTTTAGTTCTTAGCCTTTTCTAAATGGCAACTCCTATGATGACTGTACTTCTTTAACTAGAATTTGAGGTTTCCTTTTTTTTTTAACATAAGGTGTTTTTTTTTCCTTCTTTTATCCTCAGTTTTAATTTCTGTTCTTTCTGGCAAGTATAAGCATCACTAATACCAAGGAAAAGGGAAAAGAATTCCACTGGGTTCAGTCCTCTATGTTTAACATGCGCTACTCATCCTTTCATATTATTATAGAATCCATAATAACGTAATAGCAATAAGGCTCAGAGAGATAGAATTGCCTAATACTACTAGTAGGTGTAGGCTATTCCCATGCCATAAATCATAGTTCCTCATTAGGCCATCAAGCTTGAATACAGTTGACATTGCACTGACCACTGTGTTTATAATGTGGTACTACCCTGAGCTAGTAGGGGAAAGCTATTGATCATGAGGCACAGGAGTATCCACTTGCTTTGATGGCAAGCTGCTCTGCTAGCTGCTCAGTTTTCTGTTTTCCATTTTAAGGTGAAAGCCACAGGTGGTAGAGTAGCACGAAAGACCGTTGATGGGCTAAAAGACAAATGAAGAGCGCTTTTTTTTTTGTCCATCTTATTAATGGTGCCATTAGCTTGCAATAATGAAATAAACTTTCAAAATATAACCTTAAGGGGTGCCTGGATGGCTCAGTCAGTTAAGCAGCTGCCTTCAGCTCAGGTCATGACCTCAGGGTCCTGGGATTGAGCCGCGCATCAGGCTCCTTGTTCAGCAGGGAGCCTGCTTCTCTCTCTGCCTGCCACTCCCCCTGCTTGTGCCCTCTCTCTCTCTCTCACAAATAAATAAATAAAATCTTAAAAAACAAAACAAAACACCTTAATATTAAAATTCCTGCAGCAAAGATGACTGTGTTAACACAAGAGTGAATTTCAGTTATTGCCTTAAAGGATAAAGGACTGTAAATGGTAGAACTAGAATTTATGTACTTCCACTAATGATAACAACTGTCATTTTATTGAGTGTTTCCTATGAGCTGAACACTGTGCGTTTAAATGTGTTAATTCATTTAATCTTCACAACTACTCTATGCGTAGTTTTATTGATGAGGAAACCATTGCACAGAGAAGTTAAGGTCACATGATTAATAATTGGTGTAACTGAGCTTCTAATCAAGGCTCTGGCCCTGAGACCTGCCTCTTAAGCACCACACCACCCTGCTAATGCACTTTAACTCTAGGAGAAGACCCACTGGCTTTTCTTTGACAAAAACTTGTAGCAAGTCAATTGGATGAAGTCCTTTAATCCACTTTATTTATTTTTTTATTTATTTATTAGAGAGAGAGAGAATGAGCAGGAGGAGGGGCAGAGAGAGAGGGAGAAGCAGGCTTCCCGCTGAGCAGGGAGCCTGATGTGGGGCTCGATCCCAGAGTCCTGGGATCATGACCTGAGCCGAAGACAGACGCTTAACCGACTGAGCCACCCAGGCGCCCCAATCCACTTTATTTTTAAAATGAGGTATTTTAAAATAAATTGTAGACATCATGACATTCTATCTTCAAATATGCAAGTATGTATCTCTTAAGAACATTTTCTTGTATAGCTAAAATACCATCACATTTAACAAAATTAGGAGTTTCTTAGTGTCTTCCTATACCCTATCATATTCACATTGTTCCAATTTACCCTAAAATGTCCTTTAAAGTTAGTGTAAACAAAGACCCATAGTAGTCATCTGATTATTGTGCCTCTGAAATTTCTTTTACTCTAGAGCAGTCTCTTTTTTTTTTCCTTCTACATGAAACTGACTTCTGAGGAAAAAACTGGACCCATTGTCTTATCAGATGTCTCACCTGCTACATTTAATATCTTCCTTGTGGTGTCATTTGGCTTGTTCCTTTAGTCTCTGTATTTTCTGTAACAGTATTTAGATCTAAAGGCTTTGTTAGGTAAAAGCTAAATATTTTGTGCCAGAATACATGAAAGGTGTTGTTGGTTTCATATTGTATCACATCAGAAAAGTAATGGGAAGCAGGATCTTAACAACAAAAAGGATTAGCATGATACACTGATAGAGAATATGAGTGTTGCTATTATAGGAGTTGGTGTATCTTACATTTTGCTCACTCCCTTCAGATCTGTCTCTTCCTACTAGGTCTGTTGAATTGCACTAGATATGTACGTCAGAGATAGATTACAGGCCTGAATGGCCCACATCTTATTCCCTTTCCCCTAAATTTGTGCTCTTTTCCCTAATTCCTAAACTTTCCGCTCTTGCCTCCTTTGTCCTGAACATACCTGGTAGTCACTAGACTTGCTGATGCAGCATAGCCCCCAATCACACCACACAGGTCCAACAAGATACTCTCCCAAAAGACCTATAACTGGAGAGACATGAACTACCAAAGGATTTGCTGAAGTCTGGGTTATTTACAGTAACTAAAAGCTTACCCTTCAGCACAGGGGCCTAATCATGCCTCCAAGAGACTCCAGATTTCATCCTTGCTTTATCTCAGAGCTTCTGGTTCTTGGACAGGGACATGTTAAACATCAGCAAAGTAGGATCCTTGTAGAATGTGATGAAGATTATGGACACAGTGGGTCTTCTCCTAGAGTTAAAGTGCATTTCCCAGAAGAAAAACACACATTGACTCACAGAAAATTTTATATTTATTTTGCATGTTATCTTTCAGAAACTCCTAAAGAACACAGATGTGCCTATTTCACAGATTTTAACATAAGGCCAACATTCTCCTGCATTTTATTCTTTTTTTTTTTTTAAGATTTTATTCATTTATTTATTTGACAGAGAGGGACAGCAAGAGAGGGAACACAAGCAGGGGGAGTAGGAGAGGGAGAAGCAGGCTTCCTGCTGAACAGGGAGCCCGATGTGGGGCTCGATCCCAGGATCCTGGGATCATGACCTGAGCTGAAGGCAGACGCTTAATGACTGAGCCACCCAGGCGCCCCTATTCGTTCTTCTCTTAATCCCAATGAGTTTCGCTGTTCTCTAACGAGAAGAGGGGAGAATATCAGAAACTAAAAATATTCTTAAGAATTTTATTGGTCATAATGCCAGAAGTCTCCAGAGGCATACTTTTCTGGTTTTGCAATCACAGAAGAAAAATAATTTTTGGTATTTTTTTTTTTTAAAGATTTTATTTATTTATTTGAGACAGAGAGAATGAGAGACAGAGAGCATGAGAGGGAAGAGGGTCAGAGGGAGAAGCAGACCCCCCGCCGAGCAGGGAGCCCGATGCGGGACTCGATCCCGGGACTCCAGGATCATGACCTGAGCCGAAGGCAGTCACTTAACCAACTGAGCCACCCAGGC